GCCAGGGGGACAGGCCCCGGGGCCTGGGCCAAGGCAACTGACCAGGTTGTTGGGTTGGGACCCTGGTAGTCAATCAGCAGTTGAACCCACATATTCATAGGGTAAACCTGGCTTTGGTTTGGGCCCAAATCTGTAGAAGAAAAGGGGTCTCATCTGGTGGGGGTTTGTAATCTTGACAGAATTGGAATTCAGGAGGGTCATAAAAAGTGAGGGACCTAGGTTCTCAATTCTGGCTACACATTAGAAAGACCTGGAGAAAGACCTTGGTATCTAAATATCCTGATACAAAGACTGTAAACTGTGACCATTGAATCAGGATCTCTGAGGATAGGGCCCAGGCATATGTATTTTTTTTTAAAGCTCCCCAGGTAATTCCAGCATTAGCCATGTTTGAGTCTTGGCAGCAACATGAGGCAAAAAGCTGAGTTAGGAGGTTTGTAATTCGAACAAACCTTGATTTGTTTCCTGGAGGATTTGCAAGACCTTATAAGAAGTAACGTACTTTAAGACAGCAAAATAGGAGCTCTCCGTATGAGAAGGAATGTAAGTTTGACTAGAATGCCATAACCAGGAAGGGCTGGAAATATTCTCCAGAGGCTAAAATGTATGATCAAAACTTATGGGCAGCTAAAGGAAAAGAAAAAAAATGGTGCTCAGTGTCCACAATGGGGAAACTTTCTGGTTCCACTGGGCAGTGCTGTGTGGGAGCTTTTCCCCCTTAATATTTAACTTTAAAACAAATTTCTCATGGAGGTTTCATTGGGGGACTTGGAAACGTTATTACAAATAGTGTTGTCCTCAAAATATACCTCTAAAATATATACAGTAATGGGTTTCATATGGCTCTTTTTAAAAAATATAACATTCCTTAAACTGAAGGAAAAATGCCAAAACAAAACTTAGTGGGAAGAATTTTGCTGAAAGGGGCAGCAAATCAATGTTGTGGTCAAATGGCCTGCTTTGTGACTAGGATCAAGGACTAGAACACTAAGCAGGAATTCTTTACCTGGGGGTTTTGGATTCACTCAGCCCATGGTTCTCAGGCACTGGTGGGCTGGGAAATAAAAGGCTTTACCTCAACACTCCTCAAAAGCCCTGATTGTAAATATGCCCTCCACGGGCAATTTCAAGCTACCAGTGGTTATCCAGCTCATGAAAGTCCTTAATATTTAACAATGACTTTCAGCAGCCAGTAGGAGCAGGTTCCCTCACACCAATGTAAAAAAAAAAAAAATTAACAAATAAAAATTGTAAAATGCTGAGGTGTAAGCCCCACGTCAAGGAATAACATCAGAATCCCCAGGTAGTTGTGCACAGAGGGTTGAAATCCCTGCTCTAAGGGACTAGTCAATGAGCCAATTTTCATTTATTCCACGGAGAAAACCTCAATGGACTCTTTAGTGCGTCCAGGTCCCTCTGAAATTTAGATACTGTCAGTCTGGGGGGAAATTTGGAAAACATGCTCTTTAGTAACTAGTCTTCATTGGTATCCTTTGGTGAATATTGAGCAGTTCAACGTTTCGGATACTGACAGGTCCTTGTCATATAGGTACTCCATTGTATTTAAGAACAGATCACCTTAGTGCTCAGCTGAGCAGGTGAGTGTGGCGTCCTGCTATGGACATGCAATAGCCTCAGGAATTAACCACAACTCTGGGTAGATGGCCACTTCGCCTCTCTTGGAAGGAGTTTTAGCTATTTTTTGAAAACCATGAAATGCTGTGTGATTCAGCATTTTAAAGAACATGTGCTCAGTCCCTAAAACCCTACCTCATGGAGCATAGCCGAGGATAATGTGCCTGGAAAAATTAAAAGCATCTATTACACATAAAACCCGTGTAACTGTATTAGTCATGCTCCCTTGGAACATGTGGCTTCATGCAGCATAGACGGCTGGAGGACACGCCATGTTCAATTTCAAAAGGTATCCTCAAGCAACTACGTAAATTCCTCCGATATGCAGAATGAGTGGCTGTCAATAAATATCTGCTCAAATACTGTTGTAGCTTTAGAAAAGCTGAAAGTAAGCCAGCACTCCTGGGTTATGAGAACAGTCATCTCATTGATTACAGGAGCAAGAGTACCTTTCCGCTTTTTCTTGGGGTCGGGGTAGGGTCACAGCCAGGGTGCCAGCTGCTGGACACCGTTGTCGGGGTTTTACTAGGTGCCTTGGACACGAAACCTGTGTCAGCAGGACCGTTAGACCCGATGGCCTGGTGGGCTAGACTGTCTGATTTCATCAGGATTATTTGGGAATTGAGGTGAACCTGTAGATGCGGGCCTTAGGGACAGCATCTACAGATGGAGGAAGACGGCAGGTGAACCATAGGCCAAGTCTTTCTGTCTTCTTTTGAGGTTGTATTCAGAAATACAGGTGGCTAGAAACTTTTTCCTCTTTCCTCCTTTTGAATCTTAATCATGAAGCCTAAATAGGATATATTCTTCCACAGAAAATTTGCAAGAAGGGAGGCTACATCACAGGTGTATGGCACATGTTAAACCTTTTGTAAATGTTACAACATGAAATTCTCAGTGCAGCATTATGAGGTCATTTTTATTACCATTTTATGAATAAGGAACGTTAGGTCCACCCTAACACGTTAGGTCACAGAGCCAGTGATAGACATACACTAAGACTTGCATTGATGGAAAGGACACTTTGCAGAATATTTCACAGTCATGGGATCAGAAGACTTGGGTTTAAGAGCCAGCTCTATTTTATGACCTAGGGTAAAGTCTCTCCACCTCAATTTCCTCCTCCTTTGACAACCAACATGCTCAAATCTGCACTCTCCACCTCAGGGGTTATTGAGGATGTTTTCATTCACTCAGCTGAACTCCGGAGAGATTGTACTAGCTGCCGGAATACAATGCAGATAAAACTCACACTGTCCCACAGTAAATCGTGGCCTGGTGGAGAAAAGAGGCAGGTACATAATTGATTGCAATTCAGAGTCATCATGGCTGTAGTTACACTTGAGAAACGGGCACCGTAAAGTACAGGATAGTTTACCTGAGCAGGTACTGTAGTTGGGGTGAGGTGGGGAGTCCTCGGGAATGTTAAAAGATGGTGTTTAAGTTGCCTTGATGGATAAACAGACGTTTTTCAGATTTACCAAGAAAAAAATGGCCATTTCATGGGTGCATAGTTAAGTGTCAGGTTCTAGGATTTGGTGAACTGGACAGGGGAGGCAGCCATCCTGGAGTCAGGTGAAGGAGGCATTCCCCAAGTAATCACCAAATGAATGTAAACTAAGCAGTGGCTGATGGCTGCCCAGCTAGGTGCATGGTGCCAAGGAGGCACGTATAGTTCTGGAGGTCACAAACGGCTTCCCTAAGGAAGAAGCAGTTGAAAGATAGCTGCTGGATGAACAGGCAGAGGGTCGGGAAGGATACTGCAGAGAGGCAGGCAGGCGGCGCAGGTCGAACTGAAAATAGGGTGTGTGGCTGAGAGGGAGGGGAGCATGGAGCAGTGAGCTGGCTGGGGAGGAAGGGCCAGACTGGGCAGGGGGCTCCTCCACCTAGGAGGATGAGAACAGGTTTTCTCTTTATCCTAAAGTTCAAAGTTTAAAAGAGGCCATCAAGGTTTTTTTTGTTTGGTTTGGTTTGGTTTTGTTGAGAGAGAGAGCCATTGTTTGTTGTTCCACCTATATATGCATTCATTGGTTAATTTTGAATGTGCCCAGGGTGCTCGAACCCGAAACCTAGAAACTGAGGTGTATTGGGACAATGCTCTAACCAACTGAGCTACCTGGCCAGGGTCAAATCAGGGTTAAGCAAGAGTGTGTTGTTGTCAGATGTCTGTTTCTTACGAGGGTTTTGCAGCTGTTGTGTGCCGATGGGTCTCGGCCGGGTAAGGGTGGCTCCTGGGGGAGGAGTCCAGGTGAGGTTGCTGGTACCTTGGTGGTAGAGAAGGGGATGGATTCAAGAACTATTCAGGAGTAAATGCAGCCGGACATGGCATTTGTTGGGTATGGTGACGAGGGGGAGAGAGGTTTCAAGGATGAAAGAACTGCCTGCTTGCAGTATTTGATCTGTGAGGGAAGCAG